CAAGGAAGTGTGTAATTAATATTGATAAAATGACGTTTGGGAACAACAAAGGCCAAATTCCGGTAAGTGTTGCTACATCTGTTGATTTGCGTGTCACAGCATTTAAGTCAACTACAATACCCCTATGTCAGAGAAAATAATTTGGGGTAGAATAAAAGAACATCCCCAAGAAAGCCCGATGCTTGTGGAAGCAGTGGAAGACCCATCCAGGCCAGCAGATGTGAAGATCGCTTGTGGCACTTTACTTTCGTTCACTACCGCTCGCTTGACTCAATGATATGTCTCTATATCTATCTCTGCTTTATTTGCCTAAAGAGGGCGTCTAGCAAATACTGGGATATTCGTGAGGTTCCCCGATCCTTCTGGAAACTCATCACGTGTTACCAGAGTTACGTGACTTTCGCTGTCGTAACAGTATAGTAACAAACACTACTAACTCCCATTATCTCACTTCTCGACATAAGACTAAGTACTTATAGACCACAACTTTGCATAATAAACACGTTATACAACCAAGATTTTACATCATAGTATGATAGTTTAAACTTACCTAAGATGATTGCATAAATTATGAGGAAGAAATACAAGTTATGGTATGGGTAAAGTAATACATGTGTAACCATAATATGACAACAAACTCCCATATCTGAAGGAAGAAATAATGTAAAACCTCAAATATTAAGAAGGATTGTTCTGCTGAACATCTCTTCACAATAAGTACAGTTAATAGTTTTAAACTAATGTTTACAGTAATATAAAACACACCTCAAGGCTTAACCATGGATTCTGTTGATTTCTTGCAGTTATCAGAATGTTTCTTCTACTAGGGTCTCCAAATATTAACTTTGCCTTTACATTTTTCAATGCTCCAAACAAATCTATGTTGCAAATCTTGAGGTTTTTTACCAGCAGTGAATTGGTCAAGAAGTGAAGAGATAAAGTTTTTAGAGAGTGGAAATGTGCTCATGGTGAAATGCTCATAATGAGCTTTCAGTTTTGCTATAAGATAGTTTAAAAATATAGACCTTAACACAAAGACATGTTTGCTGATATGATTGACTGGTTGTTTTCCCTGTGAGTTTGCCTCTATTCATTGTGGCATGCTTATGGTTATATCACTTGTACTTGCAAATGTGGTTGCAATTTCTAAGAGAATCATATCAAACTTCTATTTATTGTCTTTGCTTTTTCAGAATAGATGTGTTTTTGGCATACAGGACCAGAGGAGACTGACTGCTAGAGGTTTCACTTGTAGAGATAAGGAAATTGATAGGTTGAAAACTAAAACTACTTATAGTGTCATAAGCAAAAGTACCCATCTCCAGTGACGTGAAAAGTTAGTCGATCAATTCAAATTATTTCATGGACGGTAAAAAGGTTAATTGTGTTGCACTCTTGGTTTCACTCAGAGCCAAAGCTCTGATCTACTTATACCACCCACTGCAAAAGTAATTGTTGAGCATTTCAGTTATGCAAAGAGCCGCTCAACAATAACATACGGTAAGTCTACATTTTTATCTTATAAGTTGCATCATATTTTGAAATGTGAATGATTGTGTTTTAATTCCTAACAGTTTAATGTAGAATATCCTGCTTGTGAAATAAAATTTGGCTTCAACATTATTCATGCCTGTTCTCCCATCATTTCAAAAGTGAGTGTTGAGCTTTATTTGTTTGTGCATCTTTTCAAACAGGAGACAGACGAATGCTTGGACAGTCACCACAGTTAACAATATATATAAGATAATAAATTCCAATAGTTTTACTGTGTAGAAAAGTGTTTAATGAGTGGAATATTAAGAATCTACTTTGAAAAAATATTTTCCAAAAATGACATGACACACAGGAGTATTTAATTCAAGAGGAAAGATATGCAGCTCCTTTGACACCTAGTTTCATACAGTTTACATGCTATTTCAGAAGAGAAAACACTTCATAATTCACACTAACTATATATTTCTTATTGATAAGATTATAAAGATGCAAGATCTAATGTGTGATTAGCACAGTGATTGTAAAATGCAACACTCTGCTTTTCTCTTCTCTGGTACTTTCCTGATGTATTAGTACTTCATCAGAGCCTTGATCTCAAATGACTAGAAGAATGTTGAGCTTCAAGAGAGAATCTGTCAATTATTAGATCCATGACACTGATGAAACATAGAATCTTTCCCAAGTTCATTTTTTTTATGTATACATATCCTACACATGAGTTCAGCTACTCAGTTGTCAAAAGATGTGTTGTTTCAGGTGCTAAAGTAGTGTAGAATATCTTCACAATTACCAGTTATATTGTTTTGAGTAGCAGCTTGGATTGACATTGTTTGGAATTGTGTTTAATGATTTTCAGGCATTTTGTCATCTGTGTTAATTCTGTACCATAATAGGGCTCTAATATTAAACTCACTTGGGTTACTTAGGTTTTCCTTTCTAGTATATCTTTTTTTAAATCTAGTTTTCTGTTTTAGTGCAGTTTTTTTCTCATGCAATGTTCCACAAATTAGTTTTAACTAACCATATTCTGTAATTTTTTCTTCTAGTTTAACCAAAACAACATCAACATTTCTCTCAAATTATTTTTAAATTCTTCTGAGTTTATGATCGTTAAACAGGGTAGAGATAATATTCTTGATGAGTGTTAAACTTGTGTAATGCAATTTTGCTTTTCTTAAAAGCCAATGCACAAAGTTCTCCAAGTTTTTGACTACCATGAACAATAACATTAACTTGTGCTCGTAGTTTCCTTGAATTTTTTCACCATAAATCAACCACAAATATACATTCAGCTAGTTATGCTGAATTTTCTTCTTGTGAAGCATATCAGATACTGCTGTTACTTGGAAACAAAAGTGCTAGTGTGTAACTTTCCATCTCAATGTTTACTGTTTTGGTTCTGTACTACACGTTTTGAAGAATGATGTAATTGATGCACGTATGCTTCTCTTACATTTTTTAAAGTTTACCTAAATAAATGAAGTTGATTCAGTGATAACTCATAAAACAAATTATAGCTCACAACCTGTGTGCACTTTAATTTTATTTCAAAAACAAGTTGAACATTGGTTGCTTAAGATAATTATCTGTGTTTCCATTTCACAAAATTTTCAAAGAATTGGAGTCATCTGTGGAATAGATCATTGCTTAACTACTTGACTACCACACAGCATGCTTATACCCTAGTGCCAATCTTGTGTATGAGAATATATAGACCAGTATACATCCTACCAATAATTCTGTTCATCACACCAGCAATGCAAGAATAAATAACTGACAAGATGCAGAATATAATGCAACAAGCCTACTTGAAATACACATTTAACAAGCTTATTAGCAGCTGTAAGACATTACCTTCTAATTGTTATGTTTCATGACTTTTTTAGTGTTAAATGGCAGTGGTAGAAAATATATATCAATAACTGATTTATAAAATGAATTTGATATGTTTCTGCTATATGATGAGAAAAGTAAAAAAATCTATTCCTGAAACCATTTAACTCATTCCAGAAAATCCTGAAAAAAATTTTATTTTTAGAAACACTAGTTGTCATAGGATCTTTGTAAACAAGAAACCATACAGAATCCCATCAAAATTGCTGTACCTGAGAAGGTTTCAAGAGAAATAAATCTTGCACATTTTATAAAGTTGGAGAAATTCTTACATCGGAAGAAGAGAGAACCATTAACAAAAATGTACAAAGATGTTATGACCCATAAATGATTACACACAATCAGAAAATAAAAGATGTAAATTGGGGTTGAACGACTATGAAACAAGGTCTTTTAAGATGAAAAGTCTGGAGTACATGGAAAATGCAATTGTTACTTCATTTCAAACAATATTTGCACCAAGATTCATTGTGTAAATTTTAAGGAAAAGTTCTTAAATGTTTTGTTACTTGATACCATTGGTCAAATATTTTTATATAGGACCCTACAATGTACCAGTTAGTAATGTTTAAAGAAGAAATGCTAAGTAAGAAACAACGTTTATTTAAAAATTAACACTTTTACAATCTGAAGAAGAGTGTATGATGATGTTTTTGGTCCTAATGCAGGCTTCACATCAGGAATTGGAAAGTCCTACTTTACTTTCAGAAAGTAAAAATGATAAAACATTACTTTCTGTATGTATAAATAGAAAGTTACTATTTTCATCTTCACTATAGCAGTAAGGTTAATTATTCAAAACTGGTTGCAACATTTGGCACTTTATATATATATATATATATATAATTTAATTAAGTAGTTAATCAGATATCATGGTACTTTTATCTTACAGCTATGATAATAAGAGACTATATTGTTATAATGAGGAAAATGTTTAAACATTTTCATGTAGATCTTCTAGTATTTAATTATTGTCATTGAAATCAGAATGCAATCAATGTATCTGAATACAATAAGTGAAGCAATAATTTGTTTGTTGAATTTTGTGTAAAGCTATTACAGGGCTAATTTTGAAGTGATAGATTAGAGGGAAGACAGCTAGTCAACACCAACCAATGCCAATGTTTGGGCTACTCTTTAATAACGAATAATGCGATCAACTGTAATATGAATGCCCTCATGGCTGAAAGGGCAAACATGTTTGGTGATAAGATTTGAACTTGTTGCCCAAAGATTGCGAGTTGAGTGCCCTAACCACAAGGCAAATGCCAAATCATCTAAGTGATAGTGGGGAGGAGGAACCTAGAAATTTAACTAAAATCAAGATATGTTAGTGTGCGTGAAGAATTTGAAAAAATCTTCTCATGGACCAGTGTCTCTCTTACTGGTATCAGTGAGAGATATAACAATTCTGAATCCCATTTCATGAGCACGAGCAGAAAGATAGTAAGGGGTAGTTAGCTGATTTACTTGTCCAATTTCCATTGATTATCTGGATTGTTAAGATGTGTCAAGGTGGAAATGTATGAATGGCCTGAGACAGAATGTATACATATCTGAAATAGATGGTGACCATCCTGGACACCATCTCATACTGACCAGATTTGCTTGTGGCTATAGCAAGGTATGAGAGATACATAATTAATGATGCCTATAGAAAGAAATGCAGCACATGACCAGAATCTCGTCCTAAGACTGCAGAAATCTGAAATTGCCTGAAGCTATACAAAAGAACAAAGTGGTGTAGTGATACTCCAAGAGAAAAGCCAGGTTATTGGGAGCATGTTTCAGAAGTTCTGTCACCTGGTCCTCAATAGTGTTTTCCTTTACTTTTGGATGGGTCTGAAGGCAAGCTTCTGCAACAAACACAAAATAAAAAAACTTTGAGAATGGTTAACTGAAAGATAATTTCTGTATCATTTTCTTAAACATTGAATTTTATAGTTATCTCCTAAACTGTTATTGGTACTTTGAAGTTTACTAAGTAAATACATATTGTTGCGTCAGCGAGTCACATGACTACTATGACGCAATGTTTCTAGAACTATCATGTACTTTGCGAATGTTCAAGTTCTTACTAGATATAGGGTAGGCAGATATATATAAGAGGGGACAACGTGACGCGGTAAGGTGTATAGAGAGTGAGTAATTGAACTGCAGTCAGAGAGCATGAGAGACGTTACAGCGTTTGTTTAGCGCGATTGTTGAAGTTGAGTGTATCGGTAAAGTTATATACGGAAAGAATAAACCAGTTTTATTAAGCAAATACTTGTGTCGTTAAAATTTCGTCGGAAATCAGTTACGAAAAAAAAATCAATTAACAAACGGAGACGTAACAATATATATACACACACACAAGCTTTATAATCTATTTCTCATACATTAGTCATTTTAAGTCACATCAGTGTGTTTCTATTTTAGAGTTTACTGTGTTAAAACTAAAATTAATATATTGTGCACAAACAATCATTAAATTTCAACACATACTCTTAATTCATTTGAAGAGTAGAAGATTTTTTTGTTATTGTTGTGTCTTTTGTTTTTTGCCCATCAGGTTGTAAGCAAACCACAACCTGTAAATGCCTATCTTTGGCATAATTCGCTGGACTGTTTCCCCACAATTTTGGGAGCTCATGAACCTAACCTGTAAAGCCAAACAAGGAAAATTAATATAGAAAATATTTACTTTAATGGACTATGATACAACTATGTATATCATATTCACACACATACACTTTACAGTATATTTAAACAATTAAATAAATGACACCATTTTTTTTTCTGCTAGGAATCATTCTCTTAACTTCTTCTCAGACTCCTCCAGCTGTTCAGGAGTGTCTGTCAAAATCATGAAGGCTTATCCTGCTTAATATTACATATAGTAGTAGTATTTAGTAAGTAGATTGAATAATATGGGTGTTGGGCTAAGGATTATTTTATAGTAGGTGTCTGTGACTTGGTGATAAATTCAAAAATAAATGAACAGCATGCACTCCACTTGTTTTCAAAATAATATATACACACACACACACATATATATATATATATTCAAACTAGTTAAATGTATGTACAACAAATTCCTTAAGCTATAGAGATGATTGGCATATTATTAACACTATAGATAGTTCTCTTCTTCTTGTCAAAAGTCCATTTATGCCTATTCAGTTGCTTTAGAATTTCAGTTGACAAGCTGAACTACCTTTCTCTATTTCTATCACACTAGTACTCTGTGTATAATTCACATACAACCACAATGTGGGTTACCACAGTCGTATACTGCTCTTCCAGTAATCATCTGGTCATCATACTTTAGATATCATCTATTCCTTTTGTCAAAGTGCACTCAGGCTGGTTCAATAACTTTAGAACTCACTTTGATGAAATAAACTATACTTCTTACCTCTTTAAAAACCGTTAGTTTTCCTCTGACATATTAATCGTTAGGTTTTTCCCTCCTATGACTATTAACTTTACATATAACTTTGGCCAAACTTCTACTTTCCATGACTTTACTTTCTCGTCTGCCCTGTCTGTCTGCAGTTCCTGCTAATCTCACACTATTTATGATTCTTACTGAGTAATGTAATTAACTTGTCATATCATTTACTTTAAAATAATTGCCTTTAATTATCTTGTTATGAAAAAACTAAACAATTATGAAATATTCACTCACAAAATAAGTAAATTAATAGCACCTACACTAAACTGTCTTTTAAATCATGACAGTGTCAAATGGAAGCACATCCTCTACTGTACAGTTACCATCCCCTCCATTTATTCCTCTACTTGCCATTTGGCAAAGCAAGCCTGTCTGTTACTGTTAATTGTTCAAGATGTGGTCCAACTTCATCAGCACACTCATCTGATAGTTTGTTTATGAAAATGCCTATTTGATAATTGGTCAAACAATATTTGAAAGTGTTCAAACTACATACTGTTGGCAGAAATACAAAATTTTAATCGTAAATTACTGCTTATAAAATAAACTATACTGAATGCTTATTCTCTTGTGCTTTTGCAGCCAGTGGTTGCTGGTGAAGTGTGGACTTTGACTGTTGGTGGGCTGAGAATGATGTCTGCTGCTGGGGTGTCATACTAGCAGATGGGGTAATGAAGAATGGGGACAAGGGGAGTTGTGCCTACATTACAAATTACAGTCAGTGCACCATCTTCATCTGAAATGTATAATTAAAACACAAATGCTGGTAATGCTGTCAAGTAACTTACATATTTCATCCTATTAGCTATGTTTTTAATTCACAATATATGATTCATTGATTCTAAAGAATTTATAAATCACTTAAGAACTTCATTCAAATGTTTTATTTTACTAAGTATTGGTATTACATTACATCTATAAATTTTAGTACTAGTATAATACCATGCAAAAAAAATTGCATATCTTGCTTAAGTAAATTGATTCGAAAATTAAACAAATATTTCCAAATAAAAACACCATAAAAATATTTTGTAGGTCTATGCATGTCTAATCACTGGAAATTTCAAAAATATGTATTAAAAACCTCAGAAGGAGAAACTTATAAATACACACTCCCATTTAGCGTAAGCTGAAATTTTAAAATTTACATCTGAGGGTGGAGAACAATAATCTAAAAACATTGAATAATTTGGAAAAGTTTCGAAATTAGGAATTGAAAACTACAGAAGGTAAAAAGTTATAAATCTAAAAACAACTGTTATATGGCTAAATTCTTTCTGTAATAAATGAAGTAAAATAAACAATAGTGACATACCTTGATTCATCTGTACAAACACAATTAGTCAGTAAGAAGTGAGGCCGTTGAAAATTTCAAGTATCACTTTTACCCGATGGAGCTGATGCTTATTATACCATTTGGTTTTGTAAAATATATCATTTAAGTTTGAAAAATACCATGATCAGTGCAACCATAAAATTTAATGATCAAATTTTAATTAGAACATAATATATATGTTATCTTCCAATATCTATAGGCTTGCTATAAGGTATTGTTATGTATTTCTTACAAAAATACTTATACAAATCTGGTTATTTCCATGCCAAGAACATTGTGACAAGTTCATAACACATAACTATATAATTATAATTATGAACAGTAAAATCAATGATAAATGATATATTTTTTTATGTATAAAATAACTGAAATAACAAGTACTTGCACAGTAGAAAGTGTAAACATGTTACTTAGCTACAACTCTGTTTGAATAAAAGTTGTGCATACAACATTGCTGCAAAGTTGTGAAAACGTTTTCCTGTTTTATAAATTTTCAAAAGCAATAAACCATACAAAAAAAACATCAAATAATGTTGGTCAATGTTTCAAAACATTTCAACTGCTATTGGATTTTTTATAAATTGCTTGTTTCATGAAGATATATATTCACCATTAATGTCTAACAGTGCCGCAATGTTGTCACAATATATATAATGCATGACTTTGTGGATTTCACCAATGCACGACTACTCAATAATGTTGTAGAAACTTCATGTGTTAGCTGGGAACTGCTCCATCCCAAGCACATTCTAGTAACCCTTCTCTGAATCCTTTCCAACAATTCAATGACTTTCCTAAGGTAAGGAGCCCAAGATTGAACACAATATTCCAAATGTAGCCTAACCAGTAATCTGTACAATGAAATTATATCCTCTTTAGACTCGTATTCAGTATTTCTGTAGATACAACCTAAAATCATATTTGCTCTACCGCTATCAACAGCACATTGCTTGGATGGTTTAAGAGACTGGTCAACCATTAAACTAAGATCCCTTTCTTTTATGACACTGTTAAGGTTATTCCCATCCAAATTATACTTATAATTTGAAATTATGATAACCCATATGCATTATCTTGCGCTTATAATAATTATAACCCATCTGCTATTTATTTGAACAACTCACTAAATGATCTAAATCCTTTTGTAAAGCAGTAGCATCCTCTTCACAGCCAGCAATATCCAAATCATTAATATCATCAACAAGTTTAAGTAATTTATTGACCATTCCTTCATCTATGTCATTGAAGTTAATCAAAAAGAGCAAAGGTCCTAAGACCAAGCCCTATGGTACCCCACTTGTAACATTAATCCAAATTGACTGAACTCATTTGTAAAAAAACCCTGCTATCTTCCATCCAGCCACTCTTCTATCCAATTAGCTAACTTATCCCCCACACCTATAGAGGTAATTTTTTGCAAGTTTTTATGTGGCACCTTGTCAGATGCTTTCTGAAGATCCAGATACACCAAATCTACACCCTAATCTGCATAACCTTTTCAAAGAATGTGAGGATTTGTAAGGCAAGATTTTTCCTTAGTAAGACCATGTTAATTATCCAATAAAATCCTAAATTTTGTTAAATGATTTTGCAAAGCATCTTTTATCAGATTTTTCCAAAACTTTTCCCACAACTAATGTCAATTGTTCAAGATGAGGAATATTGCTCAAATTTTTTTCAATAGTTAAAACTGAAGAAAAAAAGAATTTAACAACTTAGCCATCTCATAATAATCAGATATGAATCTTCCTTTTCATCCCTCAAAAGTCCTACCACATATTAATATTTTGTTTACCTTTAATGTATTTAAAGAAATCCTTACTGTTAATTTTTACATTTTCAGCCAACCTTTGTTTTTCATACATCCATTTTGATGTCCTAATTTCCTGTTTGCCCAACTTTTTTGATTTTCTATAATTTTCTAAATCTCCCATCATACCAATTAATTTAAATTTCTTAAATTTGTGATGCTTTTCTTTAATCATATCTCTTATAATCATAGTGAGCCAAATTGTTTTTTTACTTATAGCCACCTTTTACTTTCTATAAGGAATATGTTTATCTGTAATGTTTAAAAATTTACCACAGTTTATCAGTGTCTCCAAATAACCCAGCTGCCCAAGAAATTTTAGTTAATATTTTTGTTCTCTGGCAAGAGCATAAGCTTGATACTAAAACTTAATATCTGGCTTATGTGTATGATGACAAACATAATTTTGCATGAAGGTCTTTTTTCTAATGTGCTCATTTTCTAGGTTTCATGAGTTTTACTTTAAGAAATGTTTATATTTTCTTGTAATGTAGTGAATACAGTTCAGACATCCAGGAAATAACATTGCCGATAATCCAAGAACCAACAACATTTACGAATTATGAATGTTCCACTTTTGAGATTTTATCTATCAGTGTGAAAGTTCATAAAGACATTAATAAGACAATGTTAGTAATATAGATAATATATTACAGACAAGACTGTCAAACTTTGTAACAAGCCATTTGTAAAATTTCTGTATCTAGATACACATTATTTAGTGGCATCAATATCTAGGTACCTATTGTATTGACTACTATGATGAGATATACACTCCTAGTTAGTTAACTTAAATGATATATAGTATTTTATAAACGTAAATATAATTATGACCTATATATCTAGAATATAACTTTATTAGCTCAATATTTTGCTATTACAGCTTTGTCAGTGAACTTGTAGGATCTCAATAGCCCCTGATGAAGCTGTAGTAGCGAAATATTGAGCTAATAAAATTACATTCTGGAGATATAGGTCTTGATTATATTTACATATATAGAAATGTCTCATAATAAACTCCAGTTTGCATTAAACAAAGTTAAGAATAATAATAGATACATAGCATTAAATTTCCTTAGTCAGCTCTACTCTTGGTGATTGTAGTCATTGTGTAAAATCATAATTTGAAACCATTAAACTTAAATGAGCACATAAGGGTACGATAATGTAAAAGTGAAAAGGACTTCAACTTGTCTGCATTAGCTCTTAACTTTTTTAACAGGAACTGGAACTAAACTGAGTGTAAATTGAGTTTGTGAGAAAAGAGTTAAGAAGAACGCAAATGACAAAGAAAGCATAATTTTTCTAACTTTCATCAATCAGTCAAAATGTTTATGGAATTACCATTTTATTTTTCTGTTGAATTTCCAGACAATAAATTAAGAATTCCATCTTCCAACATAACAATGAAAGCAGAAATAGTCTATACTTTGCAGTATTGAGAATTCTTGACATTTCTAAGATCGTGGTGGTAGTCAGGAGTGGATCTTACAGAAAACCAAAATGTAGAAATATAAATGAATTTTGAATATTATGTAATTGAGTAATGGCAGAGTAGGTTTAATATTAAGATTAATACAACAACAAAGATAATTCCAAAAGAACATTAGTAGTTGATCTTAGGAATGAACCTAAAGAGTATATGGGAAACTGCAACGACATTTTAAATCATGTAGGGGATTTATGTTGGCACAATCATAACCATGATGTGAGTCAAACACATTCTTGACATTTCCATCAGTGTATTAATGTTTTATAATTCCTCTTGCTGTTATTTTTCTATTGTAGTACATGAAGATAGTACTAAAGATATATATCGTTTATCGTTTTCTTTCTGCTGGTAAGCTGTTGTCTAAATATTCTTCATAATTGTTGTACAGTTACATTATAGCTCAGGAAAAAGAATGGAAAATTTTTCACTGTAAGTTTATAATTTAATTTTTTAGGTGCAAATAATCTATGAAGGAAGGATTAAAATTCTTGAAGAAAGTTAGCCATAACAACAACTCATGAGTGATAGAAAAGTTTACGATGTAAGAGTATGTTCAATCTTTATGAAGAAATATGCATGAGATGATGATGATGAGAAAGAACATATTTACAGTTTCAATGCAATAGAAGTTTATTAGGGAAATTTGGTAAATAAATGATATTTTATTGAAATTATGGGAGAATTAACTTAAATAATGATAATACACAATTTTTATTCCAGTCAGTTTCAATCAAAATAAGGTTATGTCTTGTCTTGATGGAAATTCAAAGGCAAATACAATATAAAAAATTAGAATATAACTATGGAAAATTAATAAAAGTATATCAAGTTCTTATATTTACAATTTAATGCTTGTAAATAGCTTAAAAGTGGATAAGATTGAAGATGTTAATAAAATATTAAAAGTAAAGTAATTTTATTTAAGTGGTGATAATGTTGAAGTTTATTCATACAAGTATATTTTCATTTCCATTGTGGGCTTTGTTATAACAGACACTTTTTGGTTGGTTTGTCATGTTGATTAACTAATTAGATATCCTGAGACTTTGGGCAGCCTCTATAAGTATATAACGTGGTCACTTACTAGTACCAATGAAGCACCTCACTGGAGCTTGATATCTTATGAATGATGAGGTCCACCAATGTGGAACTTCCCTATTATAAAAAGGAATGGCAAGCATGTTGCCAAGTGATGGGTGTTCCCTGGTACAGCTAAGATCCATCTTGTTAGAAAGACAGACTGTCAAAGTTTCCAAGTGCTGCCTAGGTTCCAGAGATTATGGAGTTTATGCTACTTCATTGCTTATCTTTGGCATGAGTGATGCAACAACTACTCAGATACTAGTGCTTACAGCAACCAGGAAAAATAATTCTCTTAATATCATTGTAACTTAAGTGGGTATACAGTTATAGTCAGTAATTCAGTGAGATGGAAAAGTCTTTTCTAAATTTATAAAGCACTTACAGCAGAGAGGAGGAAGCTGCAACTGAAGTTATACTGATATTTGAGAATGGCTGAACCCAGGAATAGGTAGTGCAACAGCCAATGTTGAACTTGGTTAGTCGAGTAATTGATATAGAGCATTATAATGATGTGCTCCTTGATGAGGGACGAAGGTATAGTTATGCTGAGATGAAACTGTGTTGAGAATCATGCTATTCAAAGGACTGAATTCAGGTTTGAAAATGTGTGCCATTAGTGGATTGTAAGGAAATCTTTATAGACAATGTGTTGAAGGGCTCTTAAATCAACCAGTGCAGTATAACATTGGGTCTGGGTCACCCCACTTTTAACAGAAGTGATTTTTATGGTAGAACATTTCAAAATGTTTATATTGATCCAATTGCAAAGAAGATAAAATCCAACAGTAGTAACCGAAACTACTACAAATCAATGCTTCTGAGATGTCAACATAGACTAAAGTAT